ATCATTCATAACTAGTCCCAATAGATTATTTCTTTGGAAAGTTCTCTACCTGACAATGCACACAAATTATAACTGTGGAGCCAAAAATAATTAAAAAAAATATGGAGGCGACACATGGATTCCTAGGTGAAAAAGACAAAATTAACCTTGAGACACACCGAAACTCCCACGCGCAAAATGTAGACAATAACGGCTCAATCAAGGTCAAAGGTGATCAAAATAGGTATTTATTCAAAACCTATTTCATCAATCCTCATCAAATCCTCCCCACAAGGTAACCCCTATTTATTCTTTTCAAATTAGGATTAATTACCAAAATTAATTGATTAATTTCCTAATAAATTGAATTTCCTAATTGAGCAAGATATTATTTTGACATAATATCTTGCAGTTAGAGCCAAAAACCACCATAAGTGGCCAGATCCCTTTTCTCCAAATAGGACCGACCATGCCCCTATACATAGCCCTCATTTCTCCAAAAAACCTAACTCCAATTCTCTTCTAAAACTCTCCAAATTTCTCCAAACACTTTCTCCCTCAAATTCTAACTTTGGCATCGAAGGTTCTTCGGCCAAAGCCCCCTCCCACATTCATCTTAGTCTTGATTCAAAACGCTCGTAAAAGACTCTCGCATTCAAGGTTTTTGTTTTCTTGTTCATTCGTAGATTTTTCGTACGTTCTTATTCTTGGAATTTTTATAAAAATTCTTCGATAAAACGTAAAAGAAAAGTACAACGACTAGAAACTCAGAAACCATAACAAACAAAAATTTCAACATTCAAGAATTGGTACCACGGCGATCCACAAGGCCCAACATGACGACAAGTGGAGCGGCACCACCCCAGAGCACCACCGTGGCAGCCACCACGACAGCCACCATGGTAACTGCCACCATGGCCACTCTCAGAAAAGCCCAAACCCACTGAGCCAAGACAACGGCCTAAGGCCCGCAAGCCCAAGCCGTGCCATTCCAATCCACACAGGCCCAAGCCCAGGCGAGCCAGCCTAAGCCACGACCCAACGCCCTCCCGAACTAAGCCCAGGCTCAACATGCACGCATGTCGCAGCCCATTCCCATGGTAACCCAAACAGGTGAGGCCCAAGCAACTAGGCCGCCACAAGCCCAAACCCACACCATTGTACAGCAATAAGCCCAGGCACCAAAGGCAGCCCAAGTCGCTGCCCCAACAGCATAGGCCCAAGCAATGCACACCTCCACTCAGCGCACAAGCCAAGTTGTTCAAGCCCAGCGCGCTTCCGAGCTGAGCCCAGGCCCAACTCAAATCTCGCACCTGGAGTCTATTACACGTCCACTATTCAAGGAGACGCATACCTTCCAAGCTCTTCCAACCCAAATGGCGAACAACACTTGTCTCGACAAGTCATTGAGTTGACCAGCGCTCTCGTATAGCAAACGACCTTGGTGAATCAACTCTTGCAGCGCATCGAGATGCAACGTGCCCCAGACAAGGTATCCCAAAGTAGGACAAGGGCAAATGACGAACCTCTTTAGCAGCGTCTAGACAAGCAACCACTCGACCAGTTACGAACCGAGCGTTCTGGCAGTGTACATTCCCAACCAGGCCCCTGAGATAACATATACTCTCATCTTAGCGAACAGAGGAGCATGCACTATTGGTTATGCCCAAGGATGAGCATACACTCACGGTTGGGTCACACTCTAATCGGCCAGAAAGTGTTCATTCGCAACTAGGCCCGCAATGAGCATCATCCACCTCACATCGGAGTAGGCAGCACGATGAACGAAGAGAAGCATTCACTCAATCCAGCTTAAGTTCAACCGACAGCCTGCGAAGAACTCACTCGCTTGCTAAGAACGTACCACATACACCACAGTCGCGACATAAACTAGCCGAACACCTGGAAGAGCAGCCTAGACTAGCAAGTCATGACCAGGGGCAGCCGAAAGCTCCGCTACCCTAACAAATGCAAATTTAGGAAGAGGTATAGAGGCTCTTGACAGAGCGATTACACGATTTCCCATGCAATGAGGTCATTGACGAAGCAATATGATGGGACATGACCAACATAAGCAGGTTACACTTCACAGATGAGATTGTGCAGGCAAAGCCTCCATGCAAGTTTAGCATGCCACATTTCATATCCTTCAAAGGAGATGGAGACCTAGAAAAACACTTAAAGCACTACCGAAGTGCAATGATCCTCTATCGAAACAACAACGATCTTATGTACAAGATATTCGCCACTACTCTACAAAGTGAGGCGCAAGATTGGTTCTACACCCTGTCGCCATAATCCATTCGGAGTTTCAACGAACTTTCTTTGGTTTTCACCGAAGAATATTCATCATATCGCTCGATCAAGAAGAAGTCCGACCACTTGTTTAATGTCAAGAAGAACCCAAATGAGTCGCTTCGTGACTATGTTAAGAGGTTCAAGGCAGATAAGACAAAGATAGTCGGATGCAACAATTCGATAGCTAAAGCAGCCTTTTAAAAAGAACTTCCAACAAACCACCTGTTGTTCAAAAAATTGATCATGAAAGAAGATCTAACTCTGGCAGACTTTTTCACTCTTGTTGAGAAGCATGCATGTTGGGATGAGACTCGCTGATCCAGATTCAAGGACTTGAAGGAATACCTAACATCACCTCCCTATTATCCAAACCGGAAGCAGCGGAGGACCTAATCGCATGTTTGATGGTATGAAGCAGCAATAAGCTCTACCATCATAAGAGAATAACTGAAAGCCCGACTATCTTCCATAGTTCAAAAGTTCTTCTCGATGAGGACACCAACTACTAGAAATTCAAAAGCTAACTTTGGCGACAGTTTTTGCATCCAGGAAGCTCAAGTTATGCCTTCAGATGCACGCAGTCATCCTCATAATGCACTATTCCGCCCAATCTAGACACGCGATGATAAAGGCACAAACATTGGCAGATGTAAAGTTTTCCGACGAACACAGCAACTCAACCTAAAAGGCGCATCAAGGGCAGACGAACACTAGAATGACACACTCAAAAGCAAGTTTTGTCCTTGTCACTCCAAAAGATTTTACATATGAGCAACATGTACCGGAAGTTGAGCACCACCTCCTGCTGCACTTCACATGGCCCTAACCAACCTTTGCTTTAAAATTCAACTCTAGAGCGACCAACGACGGCTCCATGACTTCATGCTGCACCTTCACGCCTAGCCTAGGTGACGCAACAAAGTGATCGAACGACGCCTCGAAGGCAACCAAGCACGCCTAAGTTACGCATGCGTCACCCGATGAAGACTTCTGTCATTTGCACGACGATTGTGCATCCAACTACAAGGACTCAAAAGCATACGTGGTTCTTTACACCCCAGACGATTCAATGCTCGAGCAGGTGATCACTTTAAGCTTCAAAGCATCCAACAACGAAGTAGAGTACGAAGTTCTACTAGCAGGCCTCCGAATGGCAAAAGACTTGGTAGTGAAAAAACTTGCAATTCATTCTGATTCCCATCTAATCACCAGCCATACTACTAGGAAGTACATGGCAAAACATCTGAAGATGGTGCAATACCTAGAGAAGGTACGACTTACACATTCGCTCAAGTTCCGTAGGCAGACAACGCATCTCGAGCGGATCCAACCCCCTAATCCTCGGAATGAGGCTAGCCTTGTTTGTTATGTTGACACTGGTTACTTATCAGACCCGCACAAGGCATATCCCAAGTGGTTATGTCTTTACCGTTAAGGAAGATTGCAATATCTTGGAAATCCACGATATAACCTTAGTTAAGAATATTCAAATCATTTGAACACTCACCTTACTTCACTGCACCATACATGAGACATGGTTAACAGTTCTTGTTGAGTATATTCTAAGTACTTGCTGTGTTTTCATCCATCATTAAGTCTCAACGACGATCCATGAAGATTATGCTGCATGTATCAACCCGACCAAGCCATGATACATCAATGAAGTCAACACCAAGATATATTGCATCTACATCTACATCAGCAAAGCATCAGGAGATTGAAGTCATGCAAGCCGATCCCAAACAACTTTGCCAACCTCTACACGACATTACTGCTGAAGTCAACCTTCCAGAAGCTTATCCAAGGAATTGGTATGCCTAACTATTCATATGCAATTTTTGTAGTTCTTATTTGGAAGTTTTGTCAAACTCAGGGGGAGTATCCAGAAGTATACTCATTTGATCTTAATATACTATTTTTCCTTACGATTAGAAACATTTTTCCCATTGGGTTTTTGCTACCTAACTAGGTTTTGACGAGGCACTCATCCTGCGTCCATAAGATGTATAGTTTTGACTTAATGCAACTTCTCACTTTTCTCCTTAGTCTATGGGTTTTTCTGCCAACTTGGGTTTTACCATAGCAAGGTTTTATGAGTTTTACCTTTTATGCATTCTTCCATTGATTTGAGACTCGCATTCGCTCATTGTGCCGACGACTTCATCAACTGTACTTACTTCATCGTTGAAGACCTGATGCGCCATTTGTTTGAGTATTTACTCACTTAAGGGATATCTTTGAATATTCCCTTTAGTAGTTAATATCCTATTACAGTTGTAATCCTATTAGGGTAAGAAATTAACCTTCCCTGCTACTATAAATAAAGGCACAATGGGGTGAAATAGAACACACCTTACAATTACACATCTCTCTCTCTTCTTTCTATGTGATGCACCCCCTATCTCTGGCTTTCATAATTATTCAGTAAATTATGCCTACAACAACTAAAATAATTTTTTCGACATTGTTCCACTTGCTCATTTATTAAAATTTAGAGCTTCTCTAGGATATGCTCGCTAGAGAAGGAGAGAGAATTAAACATTTGCTGACTATTAAAGAATTACTAAAACTCTACTTTTCAACTCTTTCTCTCTCCTCTTAAAGCGCTCTCTCTTGAAGAACTAATAAAATATTAAAGATTTGTTAAAATAGACTGTCGTTAGAGATGTTATGACTAGCTAAAATAGTTTTTCAACCCTGTTCTCTAGCTAATTTAGCAAAAGTTTAAAGAAACTCTAGGAGATGCTCATAGCATTTAGTGAGTGTATTACAATTGTTTGTATTTTATTTGAATTAAATCTTATCTTTTCACACAAAAAAAAAAAAGGTAAGTATGAATGTTGTTGGGCAGATTCGTGCACACAGAAACTGTTTTATGATTCACGAGTTTATCACAAGCAAGCCGCCAAGCTCATATTCTTTCTCAGCATCTCTTAGACAAGGCCCAATGGTTCAGAGCCTGTGCTTAACCTCTTTGCAAAGGAGTAGGGAGGGAATGTGCCATGCATTCAAAATATATAGATAGGCTCATAATTAGAATAATATAGTTATTCCTAAAACTTAACCTTTATTTATTTTCTTCAAATATAGACACTACTTCTTATGTAACTCAGTAATACAGTATGGTGGTATTTCTTTTTTCTTGTAAATGAGATATTTTAGGTTTGAATCTCATGAATGTCAAACTCGATACCAAACTAGGTTGCCCATCTCCAACCCTTGGAATAAAACTCAAATTTTAGGTTCTAAACTTACCCTAACTTTCTTCAACCCTTGAGGCAAATATGAGTTTTAACCCAAAACTCATTTATGGGGCAAATTTAGGTCAGGATTCCCCTAGTTTAGTGGGTTGGCCCACCTGATAATTTAACCTTAAAAAGTTGAAGTAGAAAAACTATTTCTAAGTTAAAACCTAAATTATTTAATCCAATGGTTGAAGATGGTCTAAGGGGAGGGATATCCATTTTTTTTCAAAAAATGAGAATTAGTTGTGAGACTCACTCCACATCAAACTTCAACGATCCGAATCATTTATTTTGTAAGTCTTGATTCATAAATCATCCTTAAAAAATTCAATTTAATCTGAAACCGTTTGTTTAATTATAACGATGAAATTTCAATGTTTCTTAAAAAATAAAGTAGGCATGGTTTGGTATGGGACACTGAACCAAAAATGGCATATCAAATCCCGAACCGAAAATTTTCGGGATGAAAATCTCATGACCGGTATGGGATACTGAACCAAAACTGGCATATCAAATCCCGAACCGAAAATTTTTGGGGTGAAAATCTCATAACCGATCCTGAACCAATATTTTGGGATTCCCCAAATATTTTCGGTATTTCAGAATTTCCCAAAACCGAACATCATCAGAATCCAAATCATCTAGATTAAAATTGAAATCATCCGAACCTGCATTAAAAATCAAAATTGAAATCAAAGACATAGTGATAGTGAATCAGTGAAAGATTTATGGTCGAGAGAGGAATAGAGTGAAGAGAGAGACCTGCATCCTCCTCCTAACCAGAGCCCCCAATTTGAAACCCTAACCTTAATTCGAAATCCTACACACATAGAGAATCATTGGAGAGAACCAGAGGTGGGGATGAAGCCGTGAGGTGGTGGTGGCCAAAGTGGAGATAGTTCGTCGGAGTCAGATTGTTAGACGGTGGGTGGCTACTGAGCTTCGAATCCAAGAAAGAGAGAGAGAGTCTGAGACTGAGTGAAGGCAGATGAGAGGCAAAATGAAATGAGAGGTAGTGAGTAGGGATGTTCGGCTTGGTTTTGGATTGGGTGGAAGGAAGGGTTAGGTGGTTTTTGGGTTGTAGAGAGAGAGATATAATACAAGAGAGATGAGACAGAAAATAAAAGAGAGATAAAGGGTTAGGTGGTTTATGGGTTGTAGAGAGGGGAAGATAATACGAGAGAGATGACTGATGAGACAAAAAATAAGAGGGAGAGAGAGAGAGAGACAGAGCTCTGTCTTTAGAAAGCAAGCACCCGTGAGTGACCCATCTCATGTGCTTGATGCAACTTTTGTCAGCACCACACCACACTTTAGTTATTTTAATAATATAATAATAAAACATTACACACATTGACACACACACATATATATATATGTAATATTAGTACAGTTCGGTTCAGGAATACCGAATATTTCAAAGTGTGAGACTGAATCCCATACCGAATAATTCGGGATCGGTTTGGTTTCGATACTAAAATTTTCGTGATTTTTTGTTCGGTATTTTTTCGGTTTGGTTTCGGTTTGGTTTCGGTATGGTTTGGGATTTTTGGTATTTTTTTCCAACCCTATGAACAAAGTGTTCATCAATTTCTTTGAACTCAATTAGATACCTCAATATTTCTAATTTGGCTAATATTTTTTAAGGATGATCTATGAGGTGCAACTTGAAAAATTAGTGGTTCAGATACTTAAATTTCAAAGCGATGTCGACCACACAACTAATCTCTATTTTTATAAAAATAAAAAAATAAAAATCTCTTCCTTTGAAGGCTTCATATATGTGTGTGTGTGTTAGTTGATCCAGGCAAAGTTCTAGCTTCTTATCATCGGTTGATCAAGACAATGAAGGACCCAGAGTAACTTAAACTGCCGTAACGAAAATACAGATGGTGGCAAAATTTGAGAATATAACACAAACCCCCAAATGAAAACTTTGTTCGGGGTTGCATGGACCAGGACTTAGAGAAGCCACAACAACCTTATAATTTGGATCAAGTAATAAGAACCAAGTGTGGTCGGTCGGTGGTCCACTTACTTCTCCACTAACAAAATGCATATACTAATATAACGGAGCACCATGACTGGATTCTGTACAAGAAAAGCTGCAAATAGTGGCAAATTACCAGACTCCTAAACGTGGTGTGGCTAATCCTCATATTGATAAGGAATTATTTTGTCCCCACCGTCTATACAAAGTGTGTACAATTAGGTTTTTTCTTCTTCTAAGATGTGGTCATCATCAGACCACTTAATACTACGATCTAATGGTATTTTTTTCACTTATAAATGAAAGGTCTTAGGTTCAATCTCGTCAAATACGAATTTGAATCATATTATTACTAGTCTATTGTGAAGCTAAACTCATCTCTTTTCCTAATTAGAATAGATAATATCGTTTCTTAAAATAAAAAAATTAAAAGATGGTCACCGTCAAGAATAATCACCCACCAGAGGACGAAAGGAAAGGACCAATAACTGTTTTTACTTTCTTTGAATCAGGAGGTACATTAATTTAAAGGGATCTATTGCTACATGACATTTTAATTTAATATTTTATTGATACAAAATTGTTACAGTAACATTGTATTAGTAAATCAGGACATCATAATAGCGATGACTATGTTCACTAAATGTTGTTCCCGAGAATCAACGATACATTTCGTAACAAATTTAGTTATGAGTGCTCAAATTATTTCAATTTCTGACTTAATACACGAGTATTTGAATTATTATGATTTCTTAATCTATAATCTAACACTTGAAATACTAATAATTCAATTGATTAGAGGATAGTTGATCTTGTAACCATTGATTTGCTCTCATATTTTATTATGTGAAGAAAAAAGATTCGAATTTAAATATAAAAATCGAGCATAATATCGTGATCAACTAATCTAATTCGTATTTTTATTATTTTATACTTATAGTACCATATTGTTTCCACCAAAAAATATCATCCACCAAAGCGAAAAATAAGACCAAGAAGATTCCTTTTGAACCAGAAAGTATGCATTATATGAACAAAGATGGATAGAGACGCATGCATGCGTGATACAGGCACTTTTAGGGCGTGAAGAGAGAGAGTGTTTTTATTTCATTCTCAAGTCTCAACCACGTTATGCCAAACCCCCACTCGGAATATACTGCTTTCGACGTTTTGCCTTTTTTAGGGTTTGAAGGCTCTCGTGAGTGAATAACAAGTCTTGTGAGTGTAATTTATGTCAGGAGAAGAAGTTATATGTTACAAATAATTATTACAGTATTGTCACTGTAGTTTTTTGTGTCACGTAAATGGATATGTGTGCAAATTCTTGTCGACTTGTCCTTATTTCATTGACATAGAACATCAATTACAGTCTACCCATGTTATATGAGTTGTTTTCCTATCTTATGTTACCCGTTTTCTGTGGCAGAGCTCATACGAACTGCAATTTTATATTCCATCTTTTTCCTGGCAAGAAGCCAAACTTCCATTCTATTTCATGGCCAGAACTTATCCTCCAAGAGCCTTCACGGGTTGTCTGCAGGGTCCTTTTCAAAGTTCTTATGTTTATTTTATTTTTTTTGGACTTTATCATCATTCCAAAACACTTGAAGTTGGAAATAATTAGGAGGGGATGGGTTTATGTTGAGCGTATGAATTCAACATCAAGAAAAAAGAGACTTTGTATGTACTTATAAGTAATTGGGTTATCTTCTATGTTGCTAATTAGTTTTATGATGAAACCTTAACTTTCTTCATAGTATCAGAGCAAGTTGTCCTTCATGAAAAGTGCAACGGTTACACGTGCTCCACGTTATTCAGTTTGCGTTGTCCACGTGTTAGACTTGAAAATTCGTCACATGTGAGGGGGCATGTTAAGAGTATGAATCTCATATCAGAAAAGAAGGGACCTTGTATATGCTTATAAGTAATTGACCTACTCTCTATTGACAATAATTTTTATGATAAAACCTCAACTTTCTTCAGTTTACATTTAATACAACGTTACAATATTTTCAACCTTCTCAAGTGATGCATAGCAATGTGCAGCTGCAACTTATCTTGTTATATATATTTCAACTGCATTGTGTCTAAAATCTTGTTGCGTGACATGAAAGTCTCAACATAAATTTTTTCCTCACATCGAACTTAAAATCATGAAATTACATAAATGTAGACATTTGATGAACCTTAACAAATCAAAACATGTAACACAAATGTCCAAACCATGATTCATATAATATATACACACAGACGGTTTGTTCCATTGTTCAACTATACAAATGGCTTGCCGTGTCCTCATTAATTTGTTTTAACTGGGTAGGGGGCGACGCTTGCTTGTTGCAGCGTCTTCTTTATTGTAACCCTCTGCTTTGGTTTCTGTTGGTTTGTTTTAGCTTGCTTCGCTGTAGGCTTCTGTGTACGTTATGGCTTCTTTGCCCTGGTTTTCAATCCCAGTTTCTACCAAAAAAAAACATGTTACGTTTTTTAATTACAAATTCATTCATATGTTATAATATAATGGGGTAAATTAATGTGGGGGCCACGAGTTTAAGACCCGTGAATCTACGAAGTGGGTCGGCACTGGCAATCCAATCCATGTCTGTCTGGACACTGGGCTCAAGTATGAGGAGTGAAAGTGACGAGATCACGAGCTTGGATGAATATATGCAAACTTCAAGAAGGTGCATAAAGAGTGGGATCCACTAACTACTTTCCTATGCAATAATAATCAAACGATCACCAGATTTGTATTATTTAAGTGTTAGACTTGAAAATTTAGGACTAGGTAAATTATTGCGTTTTATGGAAATGATATCTAAGTGAGAATTCAAAAATATGAGTTTCATTGATATTTTTCCAATAGAATATTGTATTAACTTTTTTTTATGGAAATGATATCTAGTGAGAATTCAAGAATATTAGTAAATTAGTTTATATCTTGGTGTACCTACTTAAATATTGTGTTTTCACAATTACATATATAATATGGAGTAGGTAAATTATTTTAGTTTACCTACTTATATATAAATAATGGAGTAAGTAAATTACTTTAGTAGGTAAATTAATTTGTATGAAAAACGATTCCATTGAACAATGCTAGATTGTTGGAAAATTAAAAACAAATACTAAAAAAATCATTAGCATTATTAATTTGTTTCTAATGCCTTGATTGGAGTCAACATTCAAGTGCGGGTGAGAAATAATTTAGAAGGAATGTGGCATAGGTTGTCAATCATTTGTAATAGTAAGTTACTTTTCTTCTTACATGGCAATTTATTTGAATTTTGAGTTTCTGTTGGATGTTTATAGTGAGTGTTTTTCTAAAAAAAAATGAGTTTTTTTTTTTTTAAATATGAGTTTTAAGGGCCTATTTGTAATGAACCCTTAATATACTCACTTGTTATAATTATAGAAGACTTAACAATTTTGAATTAACGTTGTTATCAGAACTCAGTGTTATGCGATGAATTAACCTGATCATTATTAGAGTTCGACGCAGCATTGTTGAGAAAAGACTTGCTCATGATCATGATCAGGTAATTTTTTAATAGATTTTGGAAAATAAATTATTCATGCAAGAAACGAATTTAACAAGTGATGAAGTCATTTTTCTCCAAGTTTAAAAAGAGAGACTGCTATAACCGTTGTTCTTTATTGGTGGTAATGTAAAAGATAAAGATCATCAAAATAAATAATATTAAATACATAAAATGCAACTGAAATTTCATTAGTTGATTTGTTTTCTACGATAAGAAAAGAAAACAGTCCAATAGCAGAATAATCATGCTAACTTTTCACAACAGAACCTTAACCCTATAAATACCCCCATTGATTTTATACTCTGCAACAACCAAAACAAATTCCAAGCTGCCTTTTATCTACAATGGAGCTGTTGGGGAGGACTCCTATGAAAACCCAAGTAAAACGTCAAACCATCTCTCTCTCTCTCTCCCTCACTTTTATTTCATTTTCCTGCATTTTCTCACCAACCAAACATCAATTTATTATGCATTTTCTCTCCAAATTTAAGTAACTCGTCTTTTCTTTTTCATTTTTTGCACTATCCTCCTGCATTCCAGCCATTGAATTGAATAAATCAACGGAAAATTAAATGACAAAATTAAGGAAGGGAGTGTGTAAATCACTTTTGATAACGAAAACTTAAACAAAAATGATAATGGGATTTTTTTTTCCTTATATTTTCCTAATTGTTTCTTAATTTCTCAGGTGATTATTAAACTAGTGCTAGTAGTACTTCTTGTGGTGGCCATGCTAAGAGGGGCTGAGAGCAGAAGGGCAAAAGGCAAAATATTTGAATCGTTTGAGTACACTGCAATGAACTGCAGAGCTCACAGTGCTTCGCTGACTGATTTTGGAGGAGTTGGAGATGGAAAGACATCAAACACAAAGGCTTTTCATGCCGCCGTCAGTCAGCTGAGCCAGTATGAAACACAGGGCGGTGCTCAGCTCTTTGTTCCGGCAGGGAAGTGGCTGACGGGGAGCTTCAACCTCACCAGCCACTTCACTCTCTATCTCCACAAGGATGCTGTTCTCCTCGCTTCTCAAGTCTCTCTCTCTCTCTCTCTCTTAATTTTTTTTCTTTCTTCTCAAACATGCATATACACACATATTTCCCATTTGTGCATTTTAATCATGTTGAAAGTTGAAACTATTTGAGATAAAGGGACTTAACTACAAAAAGATTAGATTTTCTTTTGTTCCAACTTACATTAGAGGGATTGGGATGTTGGCTTAAATTATACAAGACTTCGACTAAAACAACACTATCTGGAGTTTAAGGTTGAGGGCGCTAGTTTAAAGGCGTGGGCAGGCGCAGGCGCAGACGCATTGGTTAGAGCAAGTGTATTCTTTCTTGTGCATCCGAGTTTAAATACTTTTTTCACAATAATTCAGATTAGTTTCAAGTAGAATATTATTTGTAAAAAAAATGTAGAATTTTAGTTTATCGAAAAAAGCAGGGTCCCCAGTTTGAGCTCCTCTTTTGGCTAATATATTACAAATTTTTTTCAGTCACGGAGTCAAGTGTTAAAATTACTAACTTGCGGGAAAAAAAAAAGTGTTATAGGTTTTAGATTTAGTATTAACTATCCTAAAATGACGTAGTTTTAGACGTAAGCACAGAATAATCTCCAAAAATTCCATAATTATGTAATGAATGTGGTTGGTTTTGTTTACTAACTCAAATAATGAAATATGTCTTAGGACATTAATGAATGGCCTGTGCTCAAAGCCCTCCCATCTTACGGTCGAGGAAGAGACGCGGCAGCTGGAAGGTACACCAGTCTCATATGGGGAACAAATCTCACTGATGTCGTTGTTACAGGTAACCTAATTTATTTGATTCAATTCAATTCTAGATAGTTGCGGGATGTGAGTAGCTAGTCGACTAAATGCGTTACACATATATCGATTAGTTAGGTATGACATCCCCAACCATCCTAATTATTTTATTTGAATAAATGACTAAATTTATTGAGGTCCTTTTGATCGTTAGGTGACAATGGCACAATTGATGGGCAGGGTGAGTTCTGGTGGCAACAGTTCCACAAGAAGAAGCTAAAATACACCCGCCCTTACCTGATCGAAATCATGTTCTCAACCGATGTCCAAATCTCAAACCTAACTCTCCTAAATTCTCCATCATGGAATGTCCATCCTGTTTATAGCAGGTAACCAAACATGACTACCCACCAAAAGAAACTTTTTGTGATACATTTTATTAATTGTCACCCAAGCGCATGTAAGTGGCCTACCAGCTGTTGATGCATTGTGAAGTCAACTTACATCGATAGTTGACTGTCACTCGTGCGCATGAACAAGGTCAGCCACATGGCACTCAATCATTGGCGTGATTAGTCTTTTCTAAGTTTTCAAGGTTATCTGATGATTAAGATTTTGAAATTATGCAGTAATATTCTTGTGAAAGGGATTACTATTATAGCTCCAATTTCATCTCCAAACACAGATGGTATCAACCCAGGTTAGTCAACTGTAACATCATCTGCAGACCTTGTCATATTCAATTGGTTCCCCTCTCCACCGAAATTCAAATCTCGCTCTTCGTGGTTTAGATTAAATTATATTTACTTTAGCCACAACAGTACTAGACTTTTAATTTTTTCAACCGAATCATTAAGTGGTCAAATGATGCCTAATGGGGGTCCAATTAAGTACATAATTATCATTAAAAATATACTAATTCATTAATATTTTGGCAATTTCAAATGCAGATTCTTGCACCAATACAAGAATTGAAGACTGCTACATAGTCTCTGGGGATGATTGTGTAGCTGTTAAGAGCGGTTGGGACGAGTACGGAATTGCATTTGGAATGCCTACAAAACAACTAGTAGTCCGACGTCTCACATGCATTTCGCCCTACAGCGCCACCATTGCCCTAGGCAGTGAAATGTCCGGCGGGATCCAAGACGTCCGAGCTGAAGACATAGTGGCCATCCATACCGAATCGGGTGTCCGGATCAAGACCGCCGTAGGGCGAGGAGGGTACGTGAAAGACATATACGCGAGGAGATTCACCATGCACACAATGAAATGGGCGTTTTGGATGACCGGCAATTACGGGTCACATGCTGATGACAAATATGATAAAAATGCACTGCCTGAGATCAAAAATATTAACTACAGGGACATGGTGGCCGATAATGTCACAATGGCTGCAAGGTTGGAAGGCATTGCGGACCACCCGTTTACCGGGATTTGCATCTCGAATGTGACGATTGGACTGGCGGTGAAGGCGAAGAAGCAGCCATGGACGTGCACCGACATTGAGGGGATCACGAGCGGCGTGACTCCTCGCCCTTGTGATCTGCTGCCGGATCAGGGTGCTGAGAAAGCCAAAGGTTGTGATTTTCCTGCAGATGATCTGCCGATTGACCGGGTAGAGCTCAAACAGTGTACATATAGGATGAGCTCTGTGTAAACAATCCTAAGATCATGTACCATTACTATGTTTTTCAGTCTTCTGGAAAAAGCTAAAATATCAGGCCACCATAAAACTTTGCTATGTTTTCCCTCCAGCAATATTTCGGTTACAAGAATTTCGGAAGTGAAATGATTGCCGCACACCCTCTTTCTTCTTCGACGCACCCCTGTTTAGTTTTGTCCCCCGATTCACCTTTCCTTTGTTCAATGCAAATGCAAAAAATAAACATGGGCGTAGAGAAGGAGAAAAAAATATGCGGAAACCACTCCCCTTTCGTAAAAGAAAAGGGCCTGTCAAACTTTCGGTAACTTATCTTGGTAAAAAATATGAACACTATCCGAAATTTCAGATGCCATTGATGGTAGTTTCTAAGCAAGCATTTTATTAGATATTTTCACAAGAAAGCAGAGCACGGAATTGTCTCGTAGGAGTCTAACAACGGAAACAAACTTGAAGGTAAAACAAAACATACACAGAATCAAAGATTTTTCACGACAAAAACATCCACATTCAGACCTAAAAAAATGAAGCAACTGTTCCCATTCAGACCTACCATTCTAAACAGATATAACTGCAACACTGTCGGGCCTTACAACGGTGCTGGGTGATAGTCCTCATCGGATTATAAACTGCTAACCAGCACAAACCTGCACCAATGAGCGATTGGAACTCTAGAGAATCACAGATTAGTAGATTACACCGACTAGGCAGCCTTGAGATTCAGCTATTGACTCCTTTCACACATTCGACAATTACAGAATCCACAAACATGTCATTGCAATCAGTTTTGAGATTAGTTTGTAAGAGTATACAACAGATTATATCATGATCCTCATTGAAATGGATCTGGATTGAACCTTACGGACTCTCTCCAGATGAGCTCCTTGATGTTCTCTTCAGTAAACGAGGGTTGCTCAAAATCAAAATTGAAAGGCATTGGGCAGACAGGCTCCTCGTTGATATCATGAAGAGGCGCCAAGTATGGGTGGGAAAGAGCCTCATCAACTACAAAGTACCGGAGAGAAAAACAACCGTCAATGCAATTAACAAAGAAGAAAATTATCAGGAAGTTAAATGGCTCCAGTTGACCTATTAATAAGTTCTGTGACAAAAGTTACTGCAGAACTCCGTATTTGAGAATTACAAAAACATGCACTGCTGTTTCTTGAATTAAATATCACGACATGTTTCCGCCAGAAGACACAGGAATGGTAACTAGTAAGTTCCAGTTCATTGGAATCCTGCAGAACTCTGAGATCCTTAATATCATTTATGTCATAACCAAACTGGTTGAAGTGCAACACAATAGCTAAGTATACCTGTAATGCGCCTGTTTGGGTCAAAGATAAGCATCTTCTCCAGCAAATCTATAGAGCTAGGAGACATATTAGGAAACCCGAGCGAGAAGCTCCGCTTTGGGTACTGAGGTAGTTGTCGAACATATCTTCGAGCATTATCACTTCGTAAAAATCCAAGGCTGGAGTCATCAGGTGAGCCTAAGAGCTGTTGGACACAAAAGGAAAACATTGCACCAGTTGGCCAAGATCGTTTGAAAGATTATTATTATGAAACGTGTTCATTGTCTATTTCTCACCCATAAATATAGAGACTAATCTTATTAGAAATTCATTATTAATATTAGTCAGAGAATCAGTACTGTTTATGCACTGTCTGACTTCAAACACGAAACATAACCAAATGTAAATCAGATGGAACCTCTTCCGCATGTTAAGTGGAAAAAAGGTTTTTGGAGATTTCTCTTTAAAAGTAGACATGTTAGTAATGTACAAATCAGCGAGAAAGACCTAGAAACCATATACCTCTGTTATGAGTCTCAGCTGATGTACATAATCTTTGCCAGGGAATAGGGGTTTTCTGGTCATGATTTCACCTAGAATGCAACCTACAGACCATATATCAATTGCTGCAGTGTACTCCGAACAATTAAGCAGCAATTCTGGTGCACGGTACCAACGAGTAACAACATACTCAGTCATGAAATCAGTTTCAGATGTTGTCCTGGCAAGACCAAAATCTCCAATCTTAAGGTCACAATTTGCATTCATGAACAAATTGCTGGGCTTTAAATCACGATGCAAAACACCAGCTGAATGTACATATTTGAGCCCACGTAACAACTGATAAAGAAAGTACTGCAAAGGTGGAATTTAAACATATTAGTGAGATCTCAGGCATGTAAAACAGAAATCATGATCATGAGAATGGTTGATAATCAAGGTTAAAATGCAGAGAATTTTTCTTAACTAGCGCAAGTAACAATTTCTATATTATAGTCATTCCGAATATGAAAGGTTCAGAAAACTTGCAAGGAAATGAAGATCCATCTTTCAAGTTCCCACAAAAGAATAAAAGAAACATGCCATCTCATTGATCTACAGGTTAACAAAGCAAAGGAACCTTGTTTAAAAGTTGAGAGGAAGATCATTTCTCACGATTTATTATCAAGCTATAGAAAGATATATGAAAAGATATAAAACTGAGTGGTGAAGGGGAGTGTGTGTACCATATTCATTAGTTGCTTAATTCAACCTACATCAGTGACAAGCATGTATTGCCATTACCAGTAATCTAACAAATAGAATCTGGAATCCAACTATGGAATCTTGGTTGTTTAAACAAACAAACAAAAAAGGAATTAATGTCAACGGCTTATAACCCTCCTGAGGATGCTCATTTATATGAACTACAAGAACGTTTATTTATATTCAAATGGCATTGCAAACAAAATATAAATCAAGAGAAAAAGTTCAAAAAAAAAAAAACTTTTTATGGGATGCTCAACAATACTAACTACAAGAATCAAATGGCTAGCAAGTATAACATAAACAGATTGACCAAAAAAAAGTAAACCAAAAATTAAGAAAAGAAGGCCAACCCGACAATGATCATCATTCAAAGGTTGGTTGGACCGTATAATCTGATGAAGATCAGTGTCCATTAATTCATAAACAATGTAGACATCATTGAAGTTCTCCTTCTGTGGAGGCCGTATGATGTCTTTGATGGCAATAACCTGCAGAAAGAACTAACTTGTAAGCTGTTGACTCCAGAAACACATGAAACATTCTCAAGTTTTTTATCAATATATGTGCAAACAGTGAGAACTGAGTCCATGGGAGATTTCATTTAGGTGCTAAAGACAGGGCTTATTGCAGTAAAACATTTCCCAAACACGAAAAAACAATTATTTAGATGCTAAAGGCAGTGTTTTACAGCATACTATAGCTAAAATTCTTTATGCGTATGTTCAAGAAAAAACAATTATTTTGAGGGGCCCAACACAAAAGATCTGCAAGCCCTGTTACATAGGATGTGCATAAATGACATAAGAGCTCCTCATGGAACATGAACAACAAAAGGTCACAAAAAAATTACATTTTCATGATCCATGTGCCGAAGAAGTTTAATTTCTCGTAAGGTCCTTTTGGCATCTATTCTGTTGTCAAATGCATTACCAATCTTCTTAATGGCAACCTCCTCACGAGCCTCAGCGTTGACAGCAGCACTGGATGCAACAAGAAAAATCATCTTCTTCAAATTTGTTATAACAGCTACGATGTAAGTCAAATGAATAGAAAACAAAATTCTTATTGATAAACATCCTTCACCCGACCAAAAATGAAGATTGCCTGAGTCACACTACTTCACTAAGCCACAATGACCCAATACAAAGAGAAATATAAGATTGAGACATATACCAAGAATGAGTCAATTTCAGTAACCGAAAGAAGGGGCAAGGGGAGACGAAAAACGACATGGGTGGAATTTGCAAGGAAGGATTTCAATTAGAGATGGAATGAATATTGGAGCTATGAGTAGGCTCATAGGCAAAAAGATTCACGTTGACAACCCTAAATAACATGGAATACAACTTCACGTGGTCAATCCTGAATTTCGAGGATAATGGCTTAGTTGAGCTCAGCAGAGCTTATATCTTGTGGACTAAAATTTCCACCCAAAGGATACATAGCACATCACTAAACCAAGCTTAAAGACACAAATCAACAACTTCAAAATCTCATTTAGATCACACAGAAATATGAATAAAACTCAATTACTGTACACAAGCAGACTGACTAAGCTTCCGTACACCCTAAGTTCTTTCCTGATTACATACACAAAATTCCCCAACCAACAAAACCTCCCTACCACAAAATACCGAAAATCGCACTAACTCCACAAGAAAACAAAACCCACAAAAACAAAATAATCTCTAACAAACGCAAATAAATATCCAGAGTGATATCTTTAAAATACCAAAATCCACATATGCTCAGATTAAAATTTCGATCAGAATCAGATAGTGCTTTTCCCGCTTCTTGAACCAAACTAACTCAAATCAATCTTCGATCAAAAATCGATACTTCCAAAGCAAACCCAATAAAGAATTCAAGCAAAAGCAATCAAACCATCAAAAGCAGATCCAAAGATAACAAATTTAAACGGAAAGCTCAAAACCCAGTAAAGATTCAATCTTACCAGACGATACCGTAAGCACCTCTGCCGACGGGCCGAAGGGGCGGGACGTACTTCCTGGAAACTTCAAAGATGTTGCCATAGACATTGTACTGAACGTAGCGTCCGCCGTGGGTCAGCACCCCTCTGATGTTGTGGTCACCTGCTGAAGCAGAGCTCGAGTCCATGGTCAACCCGGGGGGTCCGAATCCGAAACGGGTGGAAACCCAGATAGGATTTCGGGTCTAGAAAGACGAGAAAGAGAGAGAGAGAGAGAGAGAGTTGTGGAGGAGAGCTGCTGCTAATGCGAAGTTTGGGGAGGGGGGTGTCGGTAGCTGTAAAGGTTTTGACATTTTTTTGGGGTGGTTTTTGGGGAAATTCCAGAGAAATGGGGGTGTAGAGAGAGAGGGAGGGAGGGGTTATGACCTGGAGAAACTTGGGTGACCCGTGAAGATACAAAATGGACCGTTTACTTTTCTTTTTTGTGAGGTTTTGGTGTGGCGTCTGTGATTTTCTGGGATGACCATAATTTTTCTTTTCTTTCCTTTCTACTTTTTCTTTATTTAGACCAAAAATATGAAAAAAAAATTATCGTGACGGAAATACATACGGTAACATTACGTATTTTTATATAAATTTTAAGAAATTTTATTTTTTAAATTATTAACATTTTAACATACATATCCTACCATTTATATAATAATACGTGATATCACATTGAAAAATCTCTTCAAAAATATAATCAAAATTTAATGGTGTGTTAGGTTTTGAACTTCTGAGAATCAATCTTGAGAATAGTCAAAAGTCTTCTCATGTAGAAGAATTTTCTTTTACATGTTGGGGTTTTTTCTTTCCACCACCCAAAGTTACCTTTGACCCCAATATTTGATCATAAACGTTTACTTTACATGCACGCGTAAATTGAATGTCGATATTAATGCTACCTGTGTTCTTGTTTTGAAAAATGTATTAAAAATAATAATAATAATAATAATAATAATAATAATAGTAATAATAATAAAACGTGTGGCCCTTTGAATCGGGGGCATGTTATTGGTTGTGATAGGGATAGAGTTAATTGTGATTGAGCAAGGATATAAAATGTGATAGTAGTGATTCGGTTGTATATAGGTTGTATATGCAATGCATGATGTAAATGGAAAAGCATGCATGATGTAACTACTGATACCCTTTGAAAAAAGGGGCATCAAATGGTGGTGCGTAGGGGGTTGGAATATGCAATGTTGATAGCGATATTGTGCACTATGCAAAAGCAAAGTCTTGCTTTCACATTGCAACTTGGTTTTGGTGCTAGGTTGCTTGATTGCTTAATGCTTGAGAGGCTATTAATTTAATTGAAAAGGAAGAGGTTTTTTTTTTTAACAAATGATATTATTATCTTACTAAGAGTTGGTTTGGTATTGTTGTACTTTGAAAAAAAATTGTTTCTGTTGTTTGCTGTGCTATGAGAATAAGCAGCTGTGAGATAAAGTAGCAGAATATTTGGTAACCTTTTTTGTAAAAGTGCTTTGAAAAAAAAAACAGTATTATAGTGTTTGATAAACTTTTATGTAAAGGTTCGGTACGGTTACCGTACCAAAACCCTTATACCAATTACCGTACCAAACTTTCGGTTTGGTAAAATCTATTACTATTACCATACCAAACTTTCGGTATACCGAAGTTCGGTTTTGCCAAAAGTTCGGTTGGCATGATATGGCAATGGTAATTGCCATTTTGTTTTGGGACAAAATATGTTTTTGTTTTTTTTACCCAATTCAAGGGCAAAACTTTTTTTTTGTACCTTTATCTCATACATTATAGATTAAATTCATCATTCACAATTCACACACATAATAATTCAAATGATGCATCAAGATTCATCATGAAAATTAAGCTTACAATCCAAATAGAAGTTACGAACCACAACAAATAGAAGTTAACAATCCAAATAGAAATTAAAGTTTCAAACCAAATGAAAATTGGAAGTAAACTTCAAAAAGGAGAAATCATTGATCAGTTATTCAAGTTTGAGATGTCGAAGCTTTTGGAGGAGGCATTGAACTTGTAGAAGATTGAGTTTGTGTCAAGCCTACATTACAAACAAAGAAAACATATTAATTAGTAGCAAGAAGAATTAAAATTGAAAACCATTTAATAACAAATTTACTGAAAAAATTAAAGCATATATTTCTTGTTTTCTCTTCTTCCATTTCCTTGAAAAATTGAAGCATATCTTCCGTTGGTTCCTTGTAGAAGTTTACTTTATCTGCCCTAAGTCAACCACTAGTACGCACTAGTGCCTCCATTATTTTAGGAGTCAATGATAACCTAAAAGGGTCCACAACCCTCCTCCCTAGGCTAAATACATTTTCACTAGCAATAATAGAAGTGGGGGTTACAAAGATATTTTGGCTATTTGTGAAAGAATTAGGAACTCTTTTGTGTTTGATTTCCACAATTTCAAGAGATCAAAGTCACCAATAACAATGCTAATATAAGTAGGGTTTTATTTTCAAATTATTGGAATATTATAAATATGTGTTATATAATTATCTATTATATAATTTATAAATGATATATTATATTGTATTTTCGGTATGGTACGGTAATACCGTGGTAATGGTATCCATTACCAATACCGTACCATTAAATTTCGGTACGGTACAATACCGTACCATTACCGATGGTACAAAAAATTTGGCACAAAATCGGTATAGCACGGTTGGCAATTCGGTTGGCACGGTAATTTGGCAAAAAAATCCACCCCTATGTAAAACATATGTGAAAAAAATCTAGTTTTTCAAAGCTGGGTTTTGCAGCTTTGTGTTTTTGGCTTTTTTCACCAAAAACTGTGAAAAAAAACTGAAGCTGAATGTTTACCAAACATAAAAAGATCCCAGCTTTTTTTTATGACCACTTTTTTCATAATCACCTCAGTACCAAACCAAGGCTAAGGGGTGGGAAAGTGAGATAAGCCTCATAATGAGCTAGCAATAATGTGGTTCAAATTCGCCTTTGGCGAGAATCGAACTTAAAGGCCAATTTGGAATTGCTATACTTTTTTAATAAATTGTTTCTGATGCACTTTAAGAATAATCAATTGCAAAATAAAGTTTGATAAACTGTAGTTGTAAAAGTGTTGTGAGTATGAAAAGCAGCTTTTAAAAGCAACGCACACACTGCTTTTAAAAGCTGCTGCCTGGAAGCCATTGTTGTTAAACCGAAGCAGTATATTTTAATTTTACCAAACACGATTTTACTGCTAACTTTAAACTGAAGTAGTTTTTGGTTTAAAAAAATAAAATATTTAAAAATTAAAAATAAAAAAAAAAAAAAAAAAAAAAAAACCAAACTAGGCCTAAGACCTCTCACTTACCAATAAAAATGAATACAACTAGACCATAGTATTAAGTAGCAAAAGAAAGACATTACTGTCTCTGCGTAATGGAAATGCAAATGATTCAACCTAAACCTTTGAGCCTTTTGAGTCTTGTCTGGTGCAAGCAATATCATATATACAAACTATATATTCAACAAGGTTCTAAAAAACGTTCGACGCTAGTCAGGCGGTGAGCTAGCGCCTAGCGCCTAAGCGGATTTAGGTAGATTTATTGTATATCTTGTAAATAAGCGCATATTGACACTTACAAAAAATTATACTTGTATGAAATTCGTGGATAAAATAATATAATAATGATAAAATGCAAACAAAATATCCAACAATGTCTCTCCAATAGATAGGATTTATTTTTTAATGAATTAGATGGTATAAGATGAAAGTTCATATGATAATAAGTATGCATTACTTAATAAATATTTTTTAAAGATGATTTAATATATAGTGAATGAACTTAAAAAATAGGAAAGGTGTAAGGCATCTCTAACCGAAGGGTCCAGAGGGGCAGAGGGCCGAAAATAGCCCTAAAACCGTCTCCAACCGAGGGCTAGGCCAGAGGGCTCTGGAATTTGGAGGGCCCCACGGGATCGGAGAGGGCTGGCTATTTTTTTTTTTTTATGTTTTCCTATTGCTGTCAGTTATAACCGACAACATTAAAGAAGGATTTTTTAATACTGTCGGTTATAACCGACAGTAATAGTTATTCAAAGGCAATTTATTTTTTAATTACTATTAGTGTCGGTTATAACCGACACTAATAGTTTGAATTTTTTTTTATTATAACGGCTAGTAGCCGTTGTATTAACAGTTTTTTTTTATATGAATTTAAACTTCTTTTTTTCCTTTTCATATGAATCAAATTTTGTTTCATATTTTTTTTCAATTCTATTTTACAAAATTTGTTTCAATTTTTTTTTAAATTCTATTTTTTTTCTATAACTTCTATTTTACAAAATTTGTTTCATATTTTTTTTAAATTCCATTTTTTTCCTATAACTTCTATTTCACAAAATTTGTTTCAATTTTTTTTTAAATTCTATTTTTTCCCTATAACTTCTATTTTACAAAATTTGATTCATATTTTGTTTTTCATATAACTTCTATTTTACAAAATTTGTTTCATATTTTTTTAAATTCCATTTTTTTCCTATAACTTCTATTTCACAAAATTTGTTTCATATTTTCTTTCAATTCTATTTTTTCCTATAACTTTCTAGGCCATTATACAACATTAAATTAAATTAAGTAACATGAAACAACATTAAACAATATGAAACAACATTAAATAACATTAACCAACATAAAAATTATACAACATAAAAAAAAACATTTAACAACATGAAACTTAAACATTTTTAAAAACATTTAAAAACATAAAACGTAAACGCCTACTCGAGGCTTCACTTAGCCGTTGGATTTGAATTTAAGTTATAGTTTTAAAATAATAAATTATGTTTGGCCCTATGACCCTTTGGCCCTCGGTTGGAGATGGTTTTTTGTGACAGGGCTAAAACGAGCCCTCTAGCCCTTGGTTGGAGATGAAGACAAATATAGCCCTGTACTGTTCATTAAAATATTAATATCTTGAAGAATCTTGAAGGGTCAGAGGGCTCAAACGAGCCCTCTAGCCAACCACCGGTTGGAGATGGCCTAAACATTGTGATTTGTAGTCTGTAAAAAGAGAGGTGGGGAACACTGCACCAAAAAGGGCTGTGGAGCCCTCTAGCCAACCATCGGTTAGAGATAGCCTAAACGTTGTGATTTGTAATCTGTAAAAAGAGAGGTGGGGAACACTGCACCAAAAAGGGCTGTGGGGCACACCACACAATATTCAATGTATGTTATCTATCCTTGACACTGGGGGGAGGAATCTTCTATACAAACAATATCTTCAATCATTGAAGGGCACCCTAAACTTGCAATGCCCTTTGGAAATTCTGGAATATCATACAAGGGACACATTCTGCTGACATCTTCCGATGGCAAAACGCACACCAAAGTCAAGTCCACGACAGTTCGACGCATCAAATTCCTGTTTGTCACGACGAGAATGAAACTTCCTGCTGGTAATCGCAAGCTAGACATCAAAAAGTTTGTTAGAGAAGTAAGTTGGGTAGTTCTTACAACCAAGTAAGAAACATAGTCTCCCCAACTGAACAGAACAACGCGTCGAATAGCAGACAATCACGATTTCAAACAAAACCCTTTCATATATCATTAGCAATCCATAGTACACCATTACGCTTATACAAGCCAGTACAATAATAATATAACTACGATTACTCACAGCATACTGATTACAACACACCATACAAGATGGTATACTTACAAAAAACAGAAAACATAAAGCCCCATACCTAAAACCATCTTTATAAATAAGAGATGTTAGCTTTGCTAAGATCATTTTCATCTCACAAACTGACCTTCCACATTTCCCGTCAGCATCCGGTCTGAGACTGCTCCACCTGATCTTAGTTTGGAAAGCAATGTGTCACGCCCGGCTAAAAGGATTTGGAAAAATCCATCAACTTCCTTTGTAAGAAGATCGAGCCCTTGGGAGAGTTTCTGTGCCTTCCTGTCTAAGTCTGAAATAGAATTCTTGAATGCATTCCTTTCACTGAGGTCAACGCCATCCTGGATCTTGGGATCCATTTCCTTGACAGTATCATCAACTGCTTCCAGCTCCTTCAGTACCATGACTCTTCCACTAGAAAGTACATTTCTAATTTCCCCATTTACATTACCCTGTAAATCGTTAAACGCTTGTGCCCACAAATATGTATCAGCAACATTCAAATCTAACAACTTCTTTGCAGAACCAGAAAAGGCGGCAGCAAAGACACTACAAACAGATATTGTCAACACCTTCACTCCATACATAGCACGCATCAAAAGTTTCCCTTTGGCTGAGTTCTTAACCTTTGGCAGATCAAGGGATTCCACAAGCTTATCTAAAATGGTGCTACAGTTCTCAACTCTAGGGTTTTTTGAACCAATATGATGCCTCCAGCCATCAAGTGAAGAACGGGCCCGAATAAATTGGTCTGAAGTAGTTGAATCCAAATTATGCAAGACACACTGAAGATAAAGATGTCCCTGGTTTAAACGTGAGATCTCAGAGCTAAAAGCAATGCATACATCAAGCAACTTCACACTGATGTCCAAGTACACATCAATCCATTTCTCGTCCCAGTTACTCACAGGGAGATCAATTTCAGCTATGAGGGATTTTATGTCATTATGAGTTCCACAAAGAGACTCCATGGCTAATTTCATCCATGACAAGCTGAGGACATCATCCTTGTCTTTTGGGTTAAGCTTTCTTAGCCTCCCAGCCAATGTTTCCTCAAACGTGTTCAACAGTCCAACAAGCCTTGGAGACAGTTGGGAACCCTTTGGTGCAATCATCTTAAAAGGATTTCCAAAATGGAAGAATGGTCGGTGTGGTTCCTGTGGACGACTCATTATTGTGTATTTACTACAAGAAGAAGAAAATGTAATCAGATATCGTATGGGAAATCAACCTCCAAAGGCATCCAAAACCAAAAGTGAGGAAGACATAAACATGATGAGACATCACATCGTAAATCAGCCTCATCAAGTCCTCCAGGGAACATGTTAGAGTAAAAGGCCACATAAACAATGCAAAATTAGGTCTCTTTGGAAGCCGATTGTCAACCTCCATCCATAGTGATGTATTGCAAATTGCAAGACTGCTCACTACATGTGCTCTAGTCATCCCGGAGAAGACAGCAGGAGACACAATGATTTTAACAAACATATAACACAACCTTCCACCTGATTCCAGGCAGAAGAATAACAAAATTAAGTTAACAACCAATTAGGCAGTAATCACCGAAAACATATCCAATTAAACCAGTACTCTCTTGTCATTCTTCCATTTAACAGCATGCCATTTCAGCAGTTTAAACAAAACTTGACATATGCCCGATCAGTAATTTAGCACTTGTCAAGCAACTTTCGTAATAAACTTAGCTGAGTTACGCTTGTATACAAAATAACAAGCTATGACCCCCTCCCAAAACCACTAACAAATAAATCCTGTCTTATGCTTCTCTTTACAGAAAAACGAAAAACAGTTAAGCTCAACCTGAGGTGAAATTCTGTGTTCCACCGATAGATCCAAAATACAATTAGGCAATGCAAAACCTGTATGAAATGAAGATAAAAATTAGTTACATGCCTTCCTACCTATTTTCTGCCATTTCATACGGCACCAAACGGGCGGTGAACAATTACCCAAACTGAAAATCCTACCCATACCTAATTAAAAACAAAACCCCCAAATTTCTACCAAAAATTTTTAATTTTCAAGTCACAAACTTCAATACCGCAAAATTATAAGCTTCTAAAACAAAATTGAACAAAAATTAAAGCTAACCCAATCAAATCACATACATATACAAGATTTTACATATCAGATGTACAAGCATATACAAACAACAAATACATACACAAAAATAAAAAAAAATTAACATTTCTAGGCATAGATCACTCACCTAACCGTTAGATCTTCAGAAATCTAAACCGATCTTTGAGAAATTGGAAACCAAAAACCCTAACCCTAAAGTCAATCTAAGCGAAACAGGAATTGAAAAAAGGGAAATTTGAAAACCCTTTACCCTAATTATACTATAAACAGATCACAAGAGAGAGGTAGAGAGAGGGGGTCCGTACCTGATTCAGAGGAGAAATCGAGAAATTTCGATGAAAGTTTCGAGCGTCGGCGACTCGGCTTTTGGGGTCTTCGTTGAAAATGTAAGGCTGCTGAGAAGCTGCTGTTTACAAGTAGGTGAGGGACAGTGATAGGCTCACCCAAGGATGTACGGGGAGAGGGCGACACGTGGTAGTGGGTGATATTTCCGTTAAGGTTCGAAGACCTTCGGTTGTTATGCTGGGGTTGCACGTAGTGTACCGTTGTCCCTCTGTTAATGGACGGTTTTGATTGTTCTTTGTCTACGGAAAGCGGCCGGGTTATGAGGTTGTGATCACGAGAAGAAAGAACGGTCTTGATTGATAGGCTGAGGGTGGGATTCGTTTTGGGCCTTTGGGCTTCGGCCCGCCATAATTTTTTTTTCAATAGATTTTGTTAAATTATATATTAGATTAGTCACCTAAGAAGTTTGAACATATACCGTCATACAAGGAGTCAATACCTTTCTGCCAGATCATTAAGGGAAAAAGAATGGGAAGTGACTTTTCCATTTCCATGCACATTTTCCCCTCGTACAGGATTACTTTTTATTTTTTAATTAAATAAATTAGATTACAAAAATGAATAGGTGTATATCGAAAGGGTAATGCTAAGTAGACTAAATTTGTATATTAAATTTGAAAACTAAATAATGTATCGCTAATAAAAAATAAATACGTTAATCAATAATTAAGTAATAATCTAATATTCAATTTCCTTATCATTTAGTTTACAAAGCCTACACATTTAGTCTCCCTCTCATTACCCATACGGAAATCATTTCCTAAAATAAAAAACTTTTCTAATGTTTAAAACTATGGTTTTTTTTTTTTATGGATACGAGTGTTACTAACACTCGAGAGGAGAGAACAGAACACATGACCTCAAATCTATGAGTAACCATTTGAATTACAAATCTCTTATGATCTATATATGTCATTTAGCATAAACTTTACATATTCCAAATTTTGATTTATGATACAGAGAAACTTGTAACTTATTATTACTCGTGGGGTAATAATTGTACAATGGTGATGAAGCTCGTGATGGTGACAAAACTATGATGTGTGTAACTATCATGAAAGATGGTGGTACAAAAAGTATTAATTTGGCTCCTTAATGGATAAGGAGGAGTTCTTTCTCAATTTAATTTGTGGCCTATTCACGAAACTTTGGCTTATGATCGGAATTGTTAGATTGTGTAAATCACACATTAAAAGTCACCTTTGCAAAAAAATCATTAAAATATGAGATCATTTAGTCATTAACTTATGTAAAAACAAATGGAGGGATTAAGTAAAAACATTATGAACCCTCCATTTATTTGATACAATTAATTGACTAAAATGCTTTACTTTTAATTGTTTTTTGTAGAAATAATCTTTACACACTGATTTATAATAGGGTACCCTTTATAATATAAACGGTTTCATTTATAAACACAAAAATCTATAAATTGAGGACGAACTCCTCCTCAATCTTAAGGATCCGAACTCCTCTCGGTCGGTCCAAAATTGGCAAGAAATTGTAGTTCAAATAGTCAAAAGCATTTATCTTTACAACCTTCATATCTCACTACCATTTGTATTAAGAAAATTGTGTTTACCATCCTAAATCCGAAGAAATATTTGTATAATGTAATAGTATCGTGAGGTTAATATAACCAAGGTTTTTTATAATATTTCTTTTTCTAATACAAGCGATGTTAGGAATGAGAGAACTAAGACAAATATCTCGTCTAGTTCTGAGAGGCATAGATAAACACTCTTAAATACTTGAGTCTCGAGTTCTAGTGTTTGTGGTGCCTACAAAGTGCAATTATTTGGGAAGAGGGGATACAATTTACAAAGTTAATCTCGGCCAAGTGTTGTCATAAATTACTGTTAGATCAAAAAATGTGATTGGTGCTTCTAATAAAGCACCACTGAGTCAACAAGTGTATTTGCAAATGAATCTCGTCGGTAGCTAATTTAACATCTAATCTAACAAAATGTATCATTTGAAAAGAAACTACATATTCTTGTTAAGGCTTGTGGCCTCACCCTAACAAAAGAGACTAGTTACGAATAAGCATAAAACAAAATATTATTAAGAACATAGAAAGAAAACACCTTGAAAAAAAACTTAAATCGTCAAAGGCTACCTAAATTAGTGTGTTCCTCCCCTCTAAAACCCTAATGGCTAAATAGCTTTATTTATACTAATACAAAATAAAACCCTACTTAGAAAAAAAACTCTTAGAATAAAACCAGAAAACAAAATAAATTAAGATAAACTGGGAAACAATCTCCTAGTCAAACATGGAGAAATTTGCCATCTAACAAATCTGCCACGTTTTAGACCTAAATCTCCTCCAAATCGGGCCCAATCCGGCCTATGATAGTTTGTTTTAAAGATTAGAATAACCTGAACACATCTCTAGAAAGGCCAAATCCAAAATAGGTCATCTTGGGCTCCAAAACTCGTAATCAAGCCCAAACCATAACTTTGACGGCACTGCGCGCTGCTCTTTTATTTCTTCACTAGAAAATAACCTCCAATTGGAATTACTCTAAAATTCATCCATTTGATCACGTTTTACCTCAGAGGAAGTCGAAAATCCTATATTAAAAATACAATTCAAAGTATCAAAATTCTTCCAACATAATAACCAAACTAAACTAAGATTAGAATAAAATATATAACATGATATCGACTCATTAAGATTCATTCACATCAATGGAGGACCTATATTAGCAAAAGCAGATGCTTCACATGTGAAAATATTTAAAAGAAAAGGAAAACACTGAGGACAAACAAACATAGTAGAGTAAAGGATAAGAAATTGAACTAATCAATCAGCAAAGTCTACAAAGCAAGATACAATTAGCTGATTCACCCTTCAAAGTGCGCACTTGTAGAAATATGAAAGGGAAAACAAATTTCGGAGATTTAGTTTTAGCTAAGTTAGTTAAAACAATCCGCTTCACACTTTAACCTGAATTTGAATCTCAATATCTGTAGTTTTGATGAATCTAGTATGATAATCTTATTGTTTGTCGAAAAATGTAATTCCAATGATGACCTGCCAAGTAAAATATTAGCAAAAACAACCAAGATTAATCACAGATAAATATTTCGCCACAAGGTCAAAATAGTGTGATTGGCTTCTTCCCTCCAAGTTATAACCCTCTTCCCAAGAATATTTTAGTTTAAAATATCGCCTAAATTTTTTAAAAAGTAATTGATGATTTAATAAGAAATTCTTCGATAATACGTAACATTAAATAATATAAAAAGAATAACTGAGATTAAAAATAAATAACCTTAACAGTTATAAAAATCAAATATAACCATTAAAATACTAATAATACGTGATATCTAAGCCACACCATATTTAACAATTGCTTACTAATTAGCGTTAAAAGAAAATATCACAATCCTTTCCCAAAAAAAAAAAAAAAAAAAAAAAAAAAAAATATTATATATATATATATATATATATATATATATATATATATATATATATATATTCACAATGAGTCGACAATTGTAGGCTAGCTTTGGCCCCAGCTGCACACGCCTTTTTTTGACAAAAAGTCAAAATTTTCAGCTTCTACGCAACGCGAACAAATGCATTGAAAAGGTTTTCCCAAAAAAATAAAAACAAATGCATTGAAAAGATCTTAACATGCTATAAATAAATAATTACCAAAATATAAACACTAGCAAAAAGACAAAGGGGTCCCTCAAAACATTACCCATTGCCAGCTTTATAACACTACCGTTCATCGTGCCAAATGTCAATGTTGAGGGGCAAAAGAAGGTTCTGGCATTTGATGGTGAAAGCCGAAAGCATGATCCCAGTCCAGCCCAGACCAAAACCCACATGAAGAAGAAGCTGCAGGCTTCTAGCAGCAGCTCTTTCAACTCAATTAGCTGGTTGCTGGGTCCATTTCCCACAAACCATCCAAGGCAGTCATGTGGCCTGTCTGTGATTATGAGACTAAAAACGTTTTCTTATAACTAGAAGTGCTTATGACTATATTTATCAGCAACACTCAAAAGTATACGCCATATAAGTGCTTTATGGAGAATAGGGGCTCGTTTGGATGTGTTTTTAAAATTGCTGAAAGCACTTTTAGAGAAAATATCGTTGGATACCAAAAGCATTTTAAGTGCTTTTTGCAAGAAGCACATAAGGAAGAACTTTAAGTGCTTTTCCAAGATTTACTTGCATTTTTACTAAGGATTGGTTCTACAAACATTTTTATCAAAAGCGCTTCCAGTTATTTTAAAAACACATCCAAACGAATCCTTGTT